TGTCTTTGCCTTGAAGTTCTGAAACTTTTTCAAAATGTATTTAATATACAAGAACTGGCTACCTGAAACCATTTTGTGACATTGTAGTGATTATATAACATTGTAATCATTAAAACTTGCAATGAGATCACCTAAGGGTGCTTTTTGTTTTTCTTACAGGACCTTGATACAACATACCAAAGCTCTGGACCCTACCCGGCCCGTCACTTACATCACAGCCAGTAACTACGCCAGGGACAAAGGGGTGAGATGTTTATTTTTTATTAGCAGTAGGGTTGCAATTATATGAAATTTTCATGGTACGATCAGAAAATATTATATAATAAATATAATATAAAGTTTTATGGTACACAGTATAACACAGTTATTATTATTATCATCAGTTACAATGACCCTTAAAGCAGTGGTACCCAACCTGGGGTACACTAGGGGTCACCAAAGCTTCACAGGGGGTCGCAAGGCCTTCTTGATTGTAAGGGGTGTAAGAAAAGATACATACAGTACACCTATATCTCAGTAATTATCAGGATGCATTATTCACAGGAAATAATGAACAAAATGCTTCCTGCAAAATAATATTTATGGTCGGTTGTTCTGTACTGTTATTGTTATGCATTGAATAGAAATTTTTTTTTTTTTCTTGGTTTAGCAAATGCATTATTATGATCTCACAAATATTATGTCCTAGATTTACAGTAGCATTCAGTATTTTTTTAAATAACAGTAATACGTCAGAATTCAATATCTTTTTTACAGAAAAAAATTCAATACAGAAAATAAGCAAATGTACCCAGTATGATAACTGCAACCATAATTACCTACACTGAGTGCCTGAACCAAGGGAGTAAGAGTCAAATTGTCAAGGTTGGAAAAGATTTAATTGAATTGTTTCTCTACAAGTCCTATTTTGTCTCTAATCTCGTCCCTAGGCTCCCTTTGTGGATGTAATCTGTGTAAACAGCTACTTCTCCTGGTACCATGATCCAGGCCACCTAGAGGTCATCCCCATCCAGCTCAACACTCAGTTTGAGAACTGGTATGGAAAGTACCAGAAACCCATCATCCAGAGCGAATATGGAGCAGATGCAGTGCCAGGGATTCACAGTGTGAGAATTCACACACATACACATCCAAATACCCAACTGTAGTGCACCCACTATCAGCCCTTCCTAAGTCCCGCCCCTTTTAGTTCTTTGCACCAATTACAGTTGTGCAAGCCTCGGCCCACTTTCTCCTTTCCTGTACACGTGCTATGTGCTAGGCTCACCTATGTTGAAAAGACAACCAAAACTTGAAGATGGTTAAAATATAAAAGTTATATATAGTCACACCTCAAGTTAGCAAATGTTAGCAAAACGCTAGCTAATTAGCTAACAATTGGATTGGAACGATAAGAGACTAACACTAGTTAGTTTTGATAACATGAAGCCAACTTAAGATGTAACTATATGTAACTTTTACTTTTAACCATCTTCAAAAGGGTCTTTTTTGTTGCATCCTAAGGCTGTGAGGAGTCCCCCCCCCCCCATCTGTCTTAAAGATTCTGATTGCAACACATTTTCCCAGAAACATGTTAATGCCGGTGGTAAGAATCAGTCTTTTCACTCTCCAGGATCCACCTGTGATGTTTACTGAGGAGTACCAGAAGGTAGTTCTGCAGAGCTACCACAACGTGTTCGACCAGAGGAAGCAGTACGTCATTGGTGAACTCATCTGGAACTTTGCAGATTTCATGACTGTACAAGGTACTGCAACTTCAGTATTTTGAGATTGAAGAGACTCTTTCTAGACCCGGTCCAAATCTTCCTTCAACAGATCCACATTGACATTCTCTCTCAATGGCTGTTGCAGAGTATACTATACACTACAGGACACAGGTTGTATTTTCATAATGCAGAGCTATTCAGCTGAAAACCATATCTAAATTGCTTCACTAATTTTAATGCAGACCTTTACACTGTGAACTGTGAATTGGTCCGACATAGAAATAAAATAAACTCTGGATACTAAAGTCCAGTCAGGACAGCCATAAATGAATATCTCGTACACCTGCCAAGGGCAGCAAAATGTCTAGGAACTGTAGAAATGGTGAATCTTCATGGGGAGATTCAGTTGGTGCCCTAACTGATCTGCATATTGGCCTGACAAAAGGCTCTTCTGTGTTTGCGCCCTGTGTCTGACGAGGTTCTCGTTGTTCTTGCGTCTGCAGGGATCCTCCGTGTGGCAGGGAACAAGAAGGGTGTTTTCACCAGGCAAAGGCAGCCTAAAGCAGCTGCATTCATCCTGAGGGAGAGGTACTGGAGACTGGCCAATGAAACAGGCAGACTACCTCCTTGGACCAAGTACCCCTGCTCACTATGACACCCGCCAGCTGGGGCACCCAGTCCAGGACCGGCTGAATCCCATGTTAACACTATGTCTTATGGAAATTGCAGTTAAAATTCAGTCATTTGCTTGAGGCAGAATAAAGCGTATGTAGAACATTTCAGTTTGGTGTGTACAAATAAGGTCAAACTACCATGAATTACTGTGGTCTGCAATATGAACTAAACCACCAGTGTAATCAGGGCAATCTGCAACTTTTTCACATTATAAAATACATTTTTGAAGCCTCTGGTGCCTCATCTATGGTGCACATTGATATAATAATTAGAATTATTATGTGTTGCTTTGGATACACC